CAATTTTTTTAATTTATATCGTACAACTAATGGTATATTTTGAATATTATTTTTGATATCACAAAAGAATTTATAAATGTGTGGTTAATTTTTCTTTTCTTTTTTCATAGTTTGTCATTCTATTAGAATTTTGTGTGGAAGATAAATCATATTTTATAGTTCATATCACCTTGGTCATAAAATTGACTAGTTTCCCTTTCAAATCCAATAAACATAAAAAAACATCATTGTTTTAAAAGAATACTAATAGTTACACTAATATATTCAGATTTTTGAACACACATACATCAAAACACTTCTATGTTGGTTCCGGATATAGACGAATTAGGTTCTAGAAAGAGGTTGAATCAAGAACATCAACGTATTCCAGGATCTCATAGTGATAACATAAGGAAGATGTAACACCCTGTTCCGAACCGCTTTCCTAATTTGGGATTGCGGCCTGAGGATAGGTTATCATAAGGCTTAGGGCCTTCGGAAAAATAGTGATCTAGACCCATTTAGATACGGATAATGTAATTGAGGTGATTTGGGAGTTAGGTTGTGTCTTGGAGCCAAAGGGTATATTGGTAAAGTGGCAGTTCGAGATCTTTATGAATTTTGGGTTTCATTCGGAAGGCTTTAAGGCTCGGACGTATTGTTAGGAGTATAGGGCTTCTCGCTACTTTTTTCGTGGATATAGGGTTCGTCAGGAACGGACCTCATATGAGGAAGATATGACACGTTGAATTTATTGGCAATATTGGTCCTTAATGGAGAAAAGTGGCAAGAAGATACCATGCATGCAAGGTGGCCAGCGCGGAAGTACGCCCAATGTAAGCTGGCGGTACGCCCAACGTAGAAGAGTAAATGGATGCGAGTGTGGGAGGCGTACGCCCAACGTACGATCAAAGCCCCTAAACCCTATTTTTAGGGTTAAGCTTTATATAATGAACATTATGACTTAAAACCTAGTCTCCTTAACAGCCTCTCAACCTCAGAAACCCTAGATAGCCTTTCATTCCTCATCCTTTTGTGTTTTTGGCCTAGTAAAGGTGTTTAGATGCTTGAAAGAAGGAAAAAGAAGTTGAAGAAGAAGAACTTGAGTATCTTGAGCTCAACGATCCGAGATTACTGTTGGATTAGGTGTCTAAGCCCATAACTATAATTGGTATGTAGTTGAATTGATATCAGCACAGTCATTTTGGGTTGCCCTCAAACCTAGTAACTGGATAAAGATAGTATCAAATGAGAGATATTGATTTATTATAAGATTAATAAATTAATATAAATTATTCATTAATATGTTAAAAGATTAATATATTAATTAGAAATCATAAGGTTTAATTAATAGTTAGCCAAAAATTAATTAGAATTAATTTTGGGGTTAACTGTATGAATTATAAAGTACATGGACTAGTTTGCAATTATTAAATAGTTGAGCGGAAGGTTCTAGAACCTCCTTGAAAGGGGGTGGATGAAATTTATAGGGAAACCCTAATGATTTTGTCTAAGGGGCTTAGATAAGGCCTTTGGATAAGCTTAGGCCCCAAGCAAAGGAACATTAGGGTTTTCCCTTAACCCTAGATCCCTCAGCTATATAAGGAGCCTCCTAGCACATAAAATCGATCACTCCTTCCTTGAAGAAACCCTAGGGCCGAAAATTGCATACCCTACTCTCTTTCTCCTTCAAGTTTCCTTCTTGCTAGCTTTTGGGTGTGACTCCATTAGAAGCATTACCAATTGTTTGCTATAACAATTGAAAGGTATGTAACTCTTAAACCCTAATTGGTTAATTTCAAAAATAGCCTCTCTCGTTAGGGTTCTTGTTTTGCAATTCAAAGTTATATGTTCAATAGTTAAAACATAGATCCAAAAGTAGGTTGCATGTGAACTTATGAATTGTTTCTAGTTTATTTGTTTTACCTAAAACCCATCAGTGGTATCACAGCCATTGTTTTTTTGTTTTAAATTGAATTGCTATAATAGTTGAATTGCAAATTAGGGTTTATAGCTACAATATGTAGAAATATATTTAACTTCTCATTTTTTATTATAATACTATGTTAAAGAATCTACAAAATTTAGTTAATAATGTTTTTATTTTAACTGAAAATGGAAAATACTATTAGTTTTAAAATAAGCTACTAGATTTGGTGTAAATAAATGGCTAAGGTACATAAGCAAAAAGTTGGAATTTTATTTTATCTGGAATCTGAAATCTAAATGCATCCACCTAAAAACTTTGTGGGAGTAATGGGCCTCATGTCATATCCAACTATCATTTTAAGATTATATAATTACCTTAAATTTCACTATCTACAATTTTTTTTTTTAAAAATTAATTTATAACTTCTTTAGGTTTAACTTTTATTATTAATTTTTTATTTTTTAACATCATGTTAGTGCTTAATCTCATTTTTCTTTAATACTTAACTTTCATCTTTCATATAGCAGATTATAATTACTAAACTTAAAACAATTATATATGAGAAAAATATAGTATCATAAAAAATTATAAATGTTGACATATTCGATGTTTTTTTAAGTATTCTAATATTCGTTTTCACGCTCTCATTCTCATTCAGGGGCACACATATGATTTTATATTAGGTTGACACGAAAAATCGAAGTAGTGGCATAATAGTATAAAAAAAATATATTTTTTTCCACTATGTATAGATAAGTTAGACGCTGCCGGTGCCACAACGGACACCATAATAAAACCTCTCATGCTCTCATTTTTTTTCTTTTGTGTTAGTAGAGGTGGTGATGAGTGGCGGTGGTGGCCGTGACGGAGGTAATGGTGGAGGAAGTGGAAGTAGGGAGGTAGCGGATAAGATATGGTGAATTCATATATGAATATATGTAAATTTATATTGATAGATGAATATTACATTTTCTCCGTCGCATCGGTACGCTGGAGGGATTTTACGGTAATATATAAATAAGTGACTAATATTGATTTATTTATTCTCAACCTCATTTGTTAATTGAAATTCTCTCTCTCTCTCTCTCATATATATATATATATATATATATATATATATATATATATATATATATATATATATATATATATATATAAACTTATAAAACATTTTTGGTCAAATGCTGAATTTTAAGTCGTACAAACATACAATGCATTTGTACAATCAATTTATGCATTACAAAAAGAGTAGAGTACATATGGTCAATAGTTGAAAAGGTCAAATCTCTTATCCCCTATTCTTAGGCTATTTTGACCTGGTTCATTCCTTATCTCCGTATTTCCCCAAATCTCGTAATTTTTGTTCACAAATCTTGGATATATATCGCTGACGTTTCCATTTCTAGGTTTAATTCATCTTTCAGTATTTAACCACCATTATCACACCCGTCGCTTGGCGTGGGTAAACGGTTAGTATATATATATATATATATATATATATATATATATATATATATATATATATATATATATATATATATATATATATATAAAAGAGATTCTCAATACCTTATAAGAAAAAAAACCTTAAGCTATTAGTTAAAAAACAATATTATTACCCGATATTTTTCAGGAAAACCTATTGCAGAATAAATTATAACTTGTCTCAAAGATCTGATGGTAGCATTAATGACCCAATCTAAAAAATTAGTCATAAAATTATAATGATATAATAATGTTTTTACCTAACTTTATCTTTGCATATGTCATGATGAAAACCCAATTTGTGAAGGCACTTCATGAATAAAAGAACAAGCACAAAGCTAATGATATAATACTCATTCACTTTTACATTGTCCTAAACTAATGGCCCATTTATACGTATTTTTTCAAGTCCAAACAGATCTTTCTGACTGAATGGATCGGAAAGACTGTTTGATTTGCACAAAAAAAGAGGTATTCCCAGTAAGATATGTCTTTTCAAGAAAGCTCCAAAATCATATCTTTTTGGCAGAATGAGCTAGAAAGACAATTATACACCAAATCTCATCTCTTTCTTTCTTGGATTATTAAAACTTTTTAAATAACTTTTTTTAAAATTTTTATTTATTGAATTAATACTTTTTTTCATCATTCAACACAGTCAATCAAATGTACAATCAAACATCATGGTTTTTTCCTAGTCAGAAAACTTTCCCAAACAACACTTTAGCAGACAACACTTTCCTAAACAGAAACTATCAAACGAGACCTAAATGATTATATATATATATATATATATATATATATATATATATATATATATATATATATATATATATATATATATATAGGGAAAAGTGAATATACCCTTAAGAGTAATTGTGAAATTAGTCAATATATATATATATATATATATATATATATATATATATATATATATATATATATATATATATATATATATATATATATATTTCATAAGAGTAATTGTGAAATTAGTCAATAAAATAATTTATTATCCCAAAACAAACAAAAAGTAAAATAATAGGAATGTTTGAATAATCACTTTCCAGAATATAACTACATTCAATGTTAATAGAATTATCCAAAAAAATATTGTTCATCTCCTTCATTTTATCTTTATATGAAAAATCAAATTGTGTAGAAGAACAATTTGATTATCTTCCTGGTCAGACATTTTGGATTTTAGTTGCAAATGTAAATTTAAGAACTTTTGATAAATTGTGTGTATGATAAAATTAGTTGGTAGCGGGTAACGGTAACCTTTTGTTAAATGTTACGACGTAATTATAAATTTCATCGAAGTTCTACACTATACTCTCTGATTGGTAAGAAAATTCGTGAAGCTATTGTTTTGAGATATGAGAAACGCACATTCGGATATCGATGTTGCTGTAAGAGCAATCGCGAGTTGATCACAACTTTTTACTGGAGCTCCAGGAGGTCCTGACATCGAAACCAAGGTTTTACTGATATCAATGAGATATTGATTAAAACCTGCGAGACAGTGGCAAAGCTTTAAGGGAGTTGTTGGAGGCGTTGAGGATTAGGGAAAAGAAAACATGCTCCTTCAAATTCTTTATGGGTTATGGGTGATCGGAAGAACTTAGACATGGCGATGACGGTGATAAAGATTGATGGCGGTAACGGAGGTAGGAGATGGATGGAGAAGGCGATGGTTGTGGATGATTTGATGAATGAATCCGGAGGTGGCATGTACAGTGTCGTATGGTTGCAATAGAGAAGAGAAAAGGGGAAGAGGTATCTATGTCGCAAATGGGTAACCGGGTTACCCCTTTATTTTGTCCAAAGTTACCAAATTGATCCGAAAAAAACAACTTTAATGATCTAAAAAACACAGAAAATACTTTAGGAATTGAATTGATAAAATCGAAATACATTATAGGATCGTTGCATCTAATTAAATAAAGATAAAAGATAATGAAAATAATATAAAAGTCATTTTATATGTATAAATGACCTACCATATAAAAACTTAGAAATCATGGGAACCACGTAAAAAAAGTTAATGACGAAAATCAAGAATTTGAGAAAACACATGGACCTAAAAAAAGCATAAATGCTAAAGAGACGGGTAAAATGTAATTAAACATAACTCTAGTTCATTCTATAATTCCGGTTCATCCTATAACTCCGTTTGTACTCGAACTTAAAATTGATTAAATCATAAATTTAATGAAATTAAAAGGAACTTCAGCTTGAGTTAAGGGTTAAACTATAGTTAAGAATTCAATTTGTTTGGAACTCAATGATCGAATGCATCATAAAAAGAAAATTTTTGATCTAAGTATCATAAGTGCACACAAATTTAAATTACTTTTTATCCATGTATCAAATAAATAAATAAATAAATAAATAAATAAAACCGGTCATACTTAAAATCCTAAATACCTAGTAGCAACTAGCAAACCTGACAACGTATATATCCAAAAAACTAGAGATTCTATATTTATTAACTTGACAACTTATAATTAATTCACTATAAATAAAAAATCAACAATTCTTGAACTATGTTTGAATATTCTCAATATATTATATTATTTCCTTGATATCTAAAAATCGCAAGGTATACGGTATGATAAGATTTTTTACTTAGTTAAATACCACATGTTTATTTTAATAAATTAAAACTGAAAAAATTAGACATTAAAAATAATATTACAGATATTTTTACGATTTTATTAATCGATAAATATGGATTCTAACTAAAATCTTACCAAAATATAAATATGGTATAGAAGTTAATATAATATTGCGTGTATTTTCAAAAATAATATCGTATTTCCCTCCATAGAATATATATTTTTATGATATTTCCATTTTACAATTAACTAAAAATGGCATTAAGATTTAAGAGTCCTAATCAGATGAGAAATACGAAATTAGCGCGTTTATTTCAGTTGATCTACTTTACAATTTACACGCAGCCGTTTACTATATATATATTCACATACAACTATACATCGCTAAATCAATCAAAGACTCAAAGTTCAAAGTTCAAACCCTAATTTCATTAAATTCCTTTTAAACTTATACAGCAGCTCCCACAATTTCATCAAACAAATCCCCAATCGTTTTTTACATGAACATGTCTAAGCAAACTTATACAAATTCCGCCTCTATTAATATCGTCTCCGTTTCTGATTCGGTAAATTCTTCTTTCCTTTAGCCTACGATTTCTTGCTTTCTTTCGATCATTGATTGTTTCGTATTAATCTGGGTTTCGTATTAATTCCGTTTATAATAGGGTTTGTTTAGTTCGAATCTTGAATCGACTCTACTCCAATTTCAATATGAATTCCGAGTTTCCGACTTATTCAATTTGAGATTGGTTAAGCCTGAGCTTCCACTCTAGGGTTTAAAGATAATACATATAGACTAATGTTTGTATATTTGCTTTGTTACAGGATGTAAATTTGACGAATATCAGATCAGGAAGCCACACGGACATCGGGCCCCGCAAATTTAACGAAGACGAACACATCCGGATCGATGACCTGTCAAGCCACCTAGGCGATCTTTACAAATGGTCATTCCCAAGCTCCTTTTACGCCATTTTCGATGGCCATGGCGGCTCTGAAGCATCATCTTTTGTCAAAAACCACGTCATGAAACTACTCTTTGAAGATTCCGATTTCCCACAATCCTCAGACATAAACAAAACATTCTTAAAAGATCTAGAAGATTCCCATTCCAAAGCGTTCTTACTTGCTGACAAAGCAATAGCTAACGAATGCAGCATCAACAATGACTGTGGGACAACTGCGTTAACCGTTTTAGTCCTCGGCCAACATCTGGTAATCGCCAACGCCGGAGACTGTCGAGCGGTTTTATGTCGGAATGGAATCGCGATTCCGATGTCTCAAGACCATAGACCCTCTTGTCTACAAGAGAAGAAGAGAGTGGAGGAGTTAGGTGGGTGCTTTGAAGGCGGGTTCTTAGACGGTGACCTGGCGGTTACACGGGCCCTTGGAGACTGGTATTTGAAGTTACCAATCGGGTCAAATTCTCCCCTGATTGCAAACCCGGAAGTGAGTGTAATGGTGTTGAGTGAAGAAGATGATGAGTTTATGATTATTGGATGTGATGGGATTTGGGATGTGATGTCAAATCAAGCAGCTGTGAGTCTTGTGAGGCGAGAATTAAGGAGGCATAATGACCCGAAAAGGTGTGCTATGGAGCTTGTGAAAGAAGGTTTAAGGCTTCATGCTGCTGATAATCTTACTGCTATTGTTGTTTGTTTCAAGGATCGGATCGAACCACTTGTGGGCTCAACCCGCCCGAAATCCAGACGCATCGCCATGAGTGAAGAAGCAAGAAATACACTCAGAAGAAGTCTACTTGGAGAGAACTGACACGTAGGATGTGAATACTACATACACCATTTTGTTAAAGTCTGTTTGTGGGGCCACTTCAGGTGGGTTAGAAAAAGTGGCCTGAAATTTTGGTAGTAGAATCTGATTGAATTAATGAATTATGAAGAGTTTTGATTAATGATAATACGAGGTTTTTGGACTTTTTAAAAAAAAAAGTTTAATGCTTTTTATTTTGTCATATTTGGTGTTGATTGAATTTATATATGAAAAGGAGTGTTGTTTTGGATCCATGGGTATAAGATGAGATGATATATGTATGGGTTTAAATGGATTGGTGTTGATAAGTTTGGTGTGAACCAAAGCACACACCTTATCCCCAACCTACCCTTACCCTTTGTGTTGTCTATGAACAGAGTGAAACGCATGGAATAGAAATAAAATAAAATACAACGTCATTATTTATTTATGTTCTCAAATTGCATGGGAAGCTTGTAAAACGAAGAAAATACCAAGTGATATTGTTGAGAATATATTATATATTATTTGCTATAACGACTTTTTTGACAATTAAAAGCTCAATTTGGGAAAGGCAAAATTATAATTGCTTATGTTCCACACTACAAACTATAAAGGTTAAGAAGCCAAGTTTGACTGCCCGAATATATTAAAAATCTGGACCCTTCGTTCTTTCTATACAAGTCAACGTTCACCCGCAAAAATTGCATCTTAACCCATCCGATGATTGTATTGAAAATCAATTCCAAATAATGGCAAACCTAACACAATAAACATGTTTGATATTATTACTACATAAATAAAATGTAACGGTAGTTATATATTTAACGTTTTTCAAAATTTATAAAAAGAAAAAAGAAATTTGCAAGTATACATATCAAATGTTAAACGAATTTAATGGTAGGTATTTAATTAATTTTTATTTATTTATTATACGTAGTCATAAAATTATTTGACACGAAAGCAGCTGAATGAACGGACCGGATCAAAAAAGAACTTTCTTACCCTGGACCGCCGTCCACCTTATTCCGTCTCCCACCAAGAACCAGAAAATATAATATACAAAGGAGAAAGGGGGTGGCTGCTCATAACTCAAGCTGTTATTGAAATCACTGTATTCTTTAATCAAATTCACCTTGCAATTGTATTCCAAAATGGCGATGGCGAATTTGGCCAGACGAAAGGCGATCAATCTGTTCAACAACACCGTCTCTTCAGATGCCGCAAGGTATTCCTTCGCTCTTTCATCTACTTTCACAAGAGGATTCGCATCAGGATCCGATGAGAACGATGTCGTTGTCATTGGAGGAGGTCCCGGAGGATACGTCGCCGCGATTAAGGCTGCTCAGTTAGGGCTTAAAACTACCTGTATTGAGAAGCGTGGTGCTCTTGGTGGTACTTGCCTCAATGTCGGCTGTATTCCCTCTAAGGTACAACTTTTATTCTTTTCATCGGCAGGGTTTTAATTTTTAATCTATCACTACTATTAGTTTGATTTGTTTGTGTGTAAGTTCCTATGCAATTATTGGATCTACTTTTCGTGTCTATGTGTGTCTGATGTCTCTTTATTATGTCTAGGTTTTTGGAAATTTTAGGTGTTTTATGTGTCTTAAATGGTATGCCAGTGCCTTCTTATTATGCGTACACTGTTTATTGTATTCAAAACACAATTCTTTGAAACCCTACTGCATCAGAATGACTAGAAAATTTTCTTTTGATTCAGATTTGAAGTGAAACCGTGTAATCAAAAGTTTTTGTGTATGTCCGTCTGACGATTTTCTGTATCTAGGTTTGTGTATTTCCTTGAAAACTAGAGATTTGGTCATCAAAGGGGTCTAAAACTTTTGGAAGTTGTGTTTTTACATTAGTTAATGCACCAAGTGAGCAGTTCTTTGCCTATCAAATCTTCCCTTCCCTTTCTATGATTTCTGTATCTGTATGTGACCTTTTAGTAGGTGAAACTGAAACTCTTTCTTACAGGGATTGAAGGTTAGTTAGTTTGAGTTGGTAATTTCACCAATTAAGCAAATTGCTAATTGTCATTTAAGCCATTAGTATTGGGAAACTGGTCTATGGATGAATTTGTGATGCTAATAATGAGTTAAAGCTTTGACATCTGGTTCAACACGATTATAAAAAATAAGTTTTAACCCCATGTTTTCCTCTCTTTAGGCCCTTCTTCATTCTTCCCACATGTACCATGAAGCCAAAACCAGTTTTGCTAAACACGGTGTCAAATTCGACAACGTGGAAATCGATCTTCCCGCAATGATGGGCCAAAAAGACAAAGCCATTTCCAACTTAACAAAAGGAATCGAAGGCCTTTTCAAGAAAAACAAAGTCACATACATAAAAGGTTCCGGAAAGTTCCTATCCCCTTCCGAAATCTCAGTCGACACAATCGACGGCGGAAGCACAGTCGTCAAAGGTAAAAACATCATAATCGCCACCGGTTCCGATGTCAAAGGCCTCCCCGGAATCACAATCGACGAGAAAAGAATCGTCTCCTCAACCGGAGCCTTAGCCCTAACCGAAATCCCAAAGAAATTGATTGTAATCGGAGCCGGTTACATCGGATTGGAAATGGGGTCCGTGTGGGGCCGCCTCGGTTCCGAAGTAACCGTGGTGGAATTCGCCCCGGATATCGTCCCTTCAATGGACGGTGAAATCCGGAAACAATTCCAAAGGATTCTCGAAAAACAAAAAATGAAATTCATGTTGAAAACAAAAGTCGTCGCGGTCGATACTTCAACCGATATAGTCAAATTAACCGTGGAACCGTCATCCGGCGGCGAACAAACCGTCCTCGAAGCCGATGTCGTTCTCGTTTCTGCCGGTCGGATTCCATTCACCTCCGGACTCGGCCTCGAAACGATCGGAATTGAAACCGATAAAATCGGACGGATTCCAGTCGACAAACGGTTCACCACAAATGTAAAAGGCGTGTTTGCAATCGGAGATGTGATTCCGGGACCAATGCTGGCCCACAAAGCGGAAGAGGATGGGGTCGCGTGTGTGGAGTTTATCGCAGGAAAAGAAGGACATGTGGATTACGATAAGGTTCCGGGGGTGTGTTACACGCATCCTGAGGTGGCGTCTGTTGGGAAAACGGAGGAACAGGTTAAGGAGTCTGGGGTGGCGTACAGGGTAGGGAAGTTTCCGATGTTGGCAAACAGTAGGGCGAAGTCGATTGATGATGCGGATGGGTTGGTGAAGATTATAGCTGAGAAGGAAACGGATAAGGTTTTGGGTGTTCATATCATGTGTTCAAATGCAGGTGAGCTTATTCATGAGGCGGCTTTAGCTTTGTCGTATGATGCTTCAAGTGAGGATATTGCACGCACGTGTCATGCACATCCCACGTTGAGTGAGGCTGTTAAGGAGGCTGCTATGGCCACTTATGATAAAGCCATTCATATTTAAGACAAAAATGTGATGTGGGTTGGGTTTTGTTTTGAATACATTTGTAGCTGCTTCGTGTGGAAGTGGTTGAAGATACATTCGACAGCTTTTTTTTTTTTGTTTTTCTTTCTTTCTAATTTCCATTACTGCAGTTTGATATGGTTTAATAATTGATGGATTTGTGTAAGAGGTAGAGATTGTTGTGCTTTTTAATTGTTGGCTGCACATTTACATGAGAATATACCTTACCCTTCGGGGAGAGAATGAGATGTGTTTCTGATGGTGGGTATCAAGGCTTTACCATCTATTGTTTATTTGTTTATATCGATACTAGATGGATCTACCTTGCATCAAAATCATTTGTTTACTGAAATTTTTTAATTTTTAGTTACTGGTAAAGTCTTTTTGATGATTTTCACTGCATCATTCTCATGGTTCTTTTTTTTTAATTATACGAATGTCCCGGGAACTTTTTTGTTTAATCTTCAATACTTGAGCAAAAAATTATTGGAGTTGATTGTACTGGATTCACTTAGCTCTTGTTTTATAAATATATTTTCAGTTCTAAACAGATCTTTCTAGTGTAATGAGCCGAAAATACGGTTTGATTTATATAAAAAAATGACTCTTTCAGGTAAGAAATGAGTCTTTCTCAGAAAGCCTCAAAATCATGTCTATATGAGCCAAATGAAACTTTTTATTTATTTATTTATTTATTTTTCACTCCATTGATGTTAATTCTATGTTAATTTGTTACAAATAAGTTGATATTTTTATGTTTATCTTTTTAATCTGATTTGTATAAAAAATAAGACATTTGTTGATTTTTTTAATTATTGTGTAATTTAATTTAGTATGACAATTTGTATGTTTTATAATTATTTAACAGTTTCATCCATTACACTATAAAACAACATAGTAATATGATCATCTTTTATCATTCAAGACATTCAATCAAATATACAATCAAACATGGTTTTTTTTCCACTCAGAAAATTTTCCCAAACATCAACTATCATGGTTGATGATTTTGCCATGTGTTGGTTTTTTTATTAAACTTTACTATTATATATATATATATATATATATATATATATATATATATATATATATATATATATATATATATATATATATATATATGTTAACATTATGTTATATTAGAATATCTGTATTTGTAAAATATATAATCTTGATTATAAGTTTTTATAAAATAAATTACCGTAATAATTTTTAATGTTTATTTATATTTTTATATGAACTCGATACATAAAGATTAATAATTTAATATATAACAAGATATTACAGATATTAAATATTAAAATTAAGTTATAACTTGTAGACAACTAAACTAAAAATGTATCAACATAAAAATAAAGAAACTAAAATCGACAATTAAAATCTCTAACTCATTTTAAGGCAAATTAACAGTACTACTCAATATTTGGAGTAATACTATTCATTTGCCCCAAAATAAAATGAGAAATGAGATAGGTTGGAAAGGAAAGGAGGCAAAAAAGGATGAAAATTTAGATATGATAATGGATTGGAGATGCTCTAAAGTCTTCTTTAAGCATTCACACATCTATTGAAGAAGGATAGAAGAATTACTATGGTGCTCG